AACTTCGTATAATCATTAATCCTTTTGAATTTGTTATTGTTGAAAAATTGAATGCCGTATTAGAAGTTTTTAATAACGCAACTCTTACTTTTTCCCATGTTTACCAACCAACTACAAATACATTTTTTAAAGAGTGCATTACAATCGCAACATGTTTTCGTGAAAGTATGGCTGATCCAGATTTGTACCCTTATGTCTCACCTATGAGAGATAAATGGTGTACTTATTATTTGTACATTCCTGATATTTATAAAATAGGTATTATTTGTGATCCACGATTTAAGATTGAAAATTTTAAAATTCTAATTGAGTATTACTACAGTTGTTTTTTAGATAAAAATAGTTATTACTACAGCTATTTAGTAGAATGGAAAAATGAAAGAGATAATGCTAAAACTCTTTTTGAGGATTTGTTTAAGGAATATCAAGGGTTATACGGTACTGTACAAGAAGAAACAGCACCACCTCCGCCCCCGAAATCAAAAAAAGGTTTTGCCGGCATAGTCGGTGGGCTTCTTGCAAAGAAAGGGAAACGTGCCCAGTCTTCGACGAGTTCAAGTGGTACAACAGTAAGCTCGCACAACGAACTTGCTATGTACGAGGGTGTGCCATGCGATTACGATGACGACGATGTCGATTTTGACGTGCTCGGATGGTGGAAGCGGAACGAACACATGTTCCCATGTCTCGGCATGCTAGCAAGACAAGTGTTGTCCGTCCCAGTATCAACCGTAGCAGTTAAACGAGAATTCAGTGCTGGCGGCAACATTCTAACCGACTACCGAAGTTGTCTTAACGCTGAATCTCTTGAAACACTGGTTTGCAACCAAGATTGGCTCTTGGCAAGACGTCGGGCTCAAGAGTCATCGTACCAACTCGAATCGGAGCATTACATGAATGCAACCACAGATGGAAGTCCGAGTTTTGAAGAATAAGTTATAAATTTTTTTTATGTTAATGTAAATATGTAATTAATTTTTTTAGGTGAGCGATATATAAGCTCCTTCGAGGGTTTCTTTACGGTTCTTTACCTCGTCGCTTTTTTTGAACCGTCAGGATATTAAAT